ACCAGTGACTTGGGGAGGAGACAGAAACTATTTCCTGGAAATGTAGACATAGGAAAAAGGCCCAAACTTTACTCCTTCAAAGATCAATGTTTTCTCTTTGGTGATAGCAAAGGGCAGGCAGAAATCTTTCATCATCAGGATGAAAATGTTATACCTCAAGTTTTTTTTTTTTTTTTGTCAGTTATGAAGCTTGAACTCTGGGCCTGAATATTGTCTCTGAGCTCTTCAGCTCAAGGCGAACACTCTACTACTTGAGCCACAGCTCCACTTCCAGTTTTCTGGTGGTTTATTGGAGATAAGAGTTTCATGGACTTTCCTGCTTGGGCTGGCTTTGAACCATGATCCTTAGATCTCAGCCTCTTGAGTAGCTAGGATTACAGAGGTGAGCCACCGACACCCTGCAACCCCAACTTTGAAATAACACAAATCTTGAGCCACACTAATAGTTATCTTCTTTTTTGGGGGGAGGGGAGGGGTCCGGTCGTGGGGCCTGAACTCTGGGCCTGTACGCTGTCCCTCAGCTCTTCACTTCAAGGCTAGTGCTCTACCACTTGAGCCAAAGCGCCACTTCCAGCTTTTTTCTTTTTGCTTATGTGGTGCTGAGGAATCGAACCCAGGGCCTCAGGCATGCAAGGCAAGCGCTCTACCACTGAGCCACCTCCCAGGCCCTCACATTAATATTTAAAGCAAATTATTAACCTTCAATGTAACATTGAAGTGGTTTAACTAAAATTAAGCTCTTTCCTAAAAAAAGAAAAAGAAAGTTTAGCCAGGAGCCTGTGGCTCACACCTGTAAACCTAGCTACTGAAGACATTGAGATTTGAACATCATAGTTCCAAGCCAGCCCAGGTAGGAAAATCCATAGACTTACCTCCAATTAACCAAAAAGCTGGAAGTGGAACCATGGCTCAAGTTGTAGAACAGAGGCTGAGATCTGAGGATCACGGTTCAAAGCCAGCCCGGGCAGGAAAGACTGTGAGACTCCTATCTCCAATAAACCACCTGAAAACTGGAAGTGGCGCTGTAGCTCAAGTGGTAGAGTGCTCGCCTTGAGCTGAAGAGCTGAAGGACAGCGCCCAGGCCCAGAGTTCAAGCCCCACGACTGACAAAAAAATAAAATAAAAAAAAAGAACATTTGCCTTGAGCAAAAAAAGCTCAGTGAAAACATCTAGGCCCTGACTCAGGACTGGCAAAAAAAAAAAAGATTAGAAATAAAAAGCACATGGAAACCTCAAAAGCAGTTTTAACCAAACTTTTAAAATCTCTAGAGAAAAGAAATACAATGAAGACTATATGATAATTAAAAAATTAAAAACTTGAATTGTAGGAAAGAATCCGTATTTTGGAACTTACTCAAATTTCAAAATTTTGTCTTGAGATCTTAAATTTTGAATTCAGTATTGTAGAGCAAAATTGAAAAGCAATTAGGAATTCAAGTTTATAGCACCAACTTCCTTCCCAAGGAAATCTATTGATTTGTAATTTGGCCCTGAATGTGACCTGTGCCCTTCCTGTCATGACGATTTGGGTCACTCAGTCTACAACAAATGCAGCTGCTCATTTGCCATTCTTTTATTTGCATGACAATGTGTGGGAATAGATTCACAATTAATAAAACATTTCCAGTAAGCAGTCAGACTAAGGAAGTGAAGAACATTCCTCTAGTAAGTGTAAAAAGAAATGTTTCATTTTTGCCTTATTGTAGACAAAAGAAAACTTCATGTCTTTCACAATTTTGGTAAAGGCCCAAACTGTACATTTGGCTATTGTGTGTAAAAAAGTTATATAGACTCAAACTACTATTTAGTTAAGAACAACAACAACAAAGAGACTGGGAATGAATGTGACTTAGTGGGAGAGGGCTTGCCTAGCATGCACAAAGCCCTGGGTTTGATTCCTTAGTACCAGGTAAACAGAAAAAACTGGTAGTGGCATTGTGGCTCAAGTGGTAGAGTGCTTGAACAAAAAGAAGTAGGGACAGTGCCCAGGCCCTGAGTTCAAGCCTCAGGACTGTCACACACACACACACACACACACACACACACACACACACACACACTCTCTCTCTCTCTCTCTCTCTATATATATATACATACATACATATATGTATATATGTATATATATGTATATATATACTGTATATAATATATATATATATACACACACACACACATATATATGTATATATAAATTTGTTCAGTTTTTTTTTTTTAATTTTTTGGGTCCATCGTGGGGCCTGAACTCTGGGCCTGGGTGCTGTCTCTCAGCTCAAGGCTAGTGCTCTACCACTTGAGCCACAGCACCACTTCCCCCTTTTTTTCTTTTTGCTTATGTGGTGCTGAGGAATCGAACCCAGGGCCTCAGGCATGGAAGGCAAGCGCTCTACCACTGAGACACCTTCCCAGCCCAATTTGTTCAGTTTGTATTAGGCCTAGAGTAGCTTCTTCTCATCCTCACTTTTTTTCTCTCTTTTCTTTCTTTTATTCCTTTGTTTTCTCACTTCAATGAGAAGGAATGCTTTGCAAATTCAGTTACTGGGAGTGCAGGTAGTACAATGAAGTCACCACCTAGGGTAGTGTTATAATTCAAGCATTTGGAGGTTAAGGCAGGGGGTGGGGATCATGTGTTGGAGGCCAGCCTGGTCTACATAGACTTTGTGTAAAATTAAAAAATATGAAAAACAAAAAAACAAAGTCACTGAGAGCTTTGGTGGGCATATGCCTTAAGGCCTTCATTCCATCTTTGTTTGTGTGTGTGTGTGTGTGTTTGACTTCCGGCTTTTTCTGCTAAAGGGCTTCATGCATACAAGGCAAGCACTCTACCACTGAGCCACCTTCCCAACCCCTTTCATTCCATCTTATACCTGACTCCATGTTAGTTACCTACATATATTTCACTTATCTATGTCATATCAGGCAGGGCCTTGGGAGGTAAAGCATATATATATATATAAAATTTTATTTTTATTTTTCAGTACTGGGAATTAAACCCAGGCCGTATACAAGCTAGGCAAGAGCTGTTACCCCCCAAATTATTTATTTTTTGTTTCAGTCCTGGGACTTTTAACTCTGGGCCTGAGCTCTGCCTCTGGGATGTTTTTCCCTCCTTCTCTCCACCCCCTTTATTTTTTTCTCAAAGCTAGCACTCTACCACTTGAGCCACACCTCCATTTTCATGGACTTTCCTGCCCTGGATGGTTTTGAACTTTGATCCTCACATCTCTGCATCTCAGCATCTCAGCACCTAAGATTACAGATATAAACCACCAGCACCTGCCTTTTTTTTTTTTTTTTTTTTTGGCAGTTCTGGGGCTTGAACTGAGGGTCTGGGCACTGTCCCTAGCTTCTTTTTCTCAAAGCTAGCACTCTATGTACCACTAGAGTCACAATGCCACTTCTAGCTTTTTCTGTGTATGTGGTACTAAGGAATCGAACCCAGTGCTTCATGTATACTAGTCAAGAACTCTACCACCAAGCCACATTCCCTTTTTTTTAAGCCCGTACCGGGGCTTGAATTTAGGACCTATGCATTGTTCCTTAGGCTTTTTACTCAAGGCTGGAATTCTATCATTGGAGCCACAGATCCACTTTGGGCTTTTTTTTTTTTTTTTTTTTTTTGTGGCTAGTTGGAAATAAGAGTTTACAGACTTTCCTTCTCTAGCCCAGCTTCCAACCACAATCCTCAGATTTCTGCCTCCTGAGTTCCTGGGATTACAGGTATGAGCTATAGTCCTAGGATTGCAACCCTATTTTAGGATGATATCCAAGGCAGGCTAAGAGGGTATTTCAGGTGAAAACAATGAAATCTTTGATTCCCTCCACCCTGTGAATTACTATATGCCACCCAGGTATCAAGCATGGTTACCCTGCTTTAAGACATAGAAGTCACTCCAGTCTCCAACATAACACTGTCCCATGCCAGCCACTACCATCTTTACCCAGAGTAGTTCTGCCACCAAAATAAGGTTTTGTCGGCTCAGTAAAGAACTTATTTTCATTTATTTTTTAAAATAAGTTATTGTGAAAATACTGTACAGAGGGGTTACAATTACATGAGCCAGGTAGCCAGTACATTTCTTATCAAGCATTGTTGTCTCCTCCTGTTTTTCCCCTACCATCCCTTCCCTCCCATCTCCACTACACTCCTTTCCCAAACTTATTTAATGAATGCTTTTACTTTTTAATTTCTTTAAATAGGTGCACAAAGGGGTTCTCAATCCAGCACGTCAATTCATGTGTACCGTGGGTTTTTGTTTTTTTTTTTTAATCCAGGGTCTCACTGTGATCCTCCGGCCTCAGCCTCATGAGTGCTGGGGTCACAAGCATGAGTCACTACCCAGGAAGCTGGCTCCTCTAATCTTCATTCTAATCTTTATTAGAATAGAATGAAACTTTATTCCAACTGTTGTAAGCCATATTTCCGGATACATTTTCTTCCTGCAGCTCCCAAGATGATTACATTTCCCCCATTGATAATTACAAGGCATTTTCCTCTAGAAGCTTAAACAACTAAGGGTAGTGATGGATGGAGACTTCAATGAGTCTGCTCGGGGCTCTGCTGGTTAATGGCTGGTCTTAAGGACTTTTCTGCCCTTGCTGGCTTTGAACCGAGATCCTCAGATCTCAGCAGCTAGAATGGCAGGCGCCACACGCCAGCACATTCCAGACAACTCCATTCTGCACTAAGTGCAGGGACTGAGGTTTTTTTGTTGTTGGTTTATAAAAGAAATTGAGGAAGTGTGCGGCCCCGCCCCTTTAATGACCTCAGGGCAGGCGGATTAGACGCGACTCCCTCGCTCCCACCTCCGTCGCCGCCCACCCCGGCGCGCCCCTAGCCTCGTTGGCCGCCCGACCACTCCCCGGCTTCGAGGGGCGGGGCGAACCTAGCGGTCACGCGCGCGGGCGACGGAGGGGGCGTGGCCGCGAGCGCGCGCGGGCGACGGAGGGGGCGTGTCCGGCGGGCGGCGGCGGCGGCGGCGGCGGCGGCGGCGCGGGCCGGGTGCGCGGCGCAGCGTCCTGTGGTGGAATGTGCGGCTCCCGCGAGCTCGCCGCGCAACAACAGATCGAGAGTCGCCGAGGCCCGGGGCCCGAGACCCGAGTGGCGGCAGCGACGGGGACGGCAGATCGAGGGCCGGCGGCTTGAGTAGACTGTCTCGTCTCAGTCCTGGGCCTTCGCGGTCCTTGACGGCCCCGGCGCCTAACTTTTCTCCCCTCTCCCGAAACTCCAGCAACAAAGAAAAGTAGTCGGAGCAGGAGCGGCGGCGCAGGCCCGAGCGCCCCCCGGGAGCCGAGGACGGCGAGTGAGGCGCGCGCGGGGCCGGGGGGCCGCGGGCGTGGGGAGGGCCGGGCGGCGGCGGGGAGGGGAGGGCGCGGAAGGACGCGGCGCGAGGCGCTGTCCAGGGCTGATTTGCAGATACAGCGGCTGCGGCGAGTGCTGCCGCGCCCGGCGGGGGCGGGGGCGGGGGCGGGCGGAGTCGGGTTACAGCGCGGCGGGCCCGGGGGCTGGGCCGGGGGGCGCCGGTGCGGAGCGGCCCGTCTCCGGGACCCCTCCTCAGCCGAGGCCCGGCCGCCGCCGCCGCCGCCGCCGCCTGTGCACGGGCCGCACGCCTCTCCCGGCCGCGATCTCGGAGGCCGAGCGCGGAGCTGCTCGAGGTCCCCGTCCTGAGACTGGCTCGTGCACCCGGGGGCCCCGGTCCCGCCGCTGCCCCGCGCCCCCTCCCCCAGCCCGTGCCCCCGGCCGGAAGGAGCCGAGCGGCGCGGCCGGGCGCGTTGAGTCAGCCCCGGGGCGCGGGCGGAGTCGCTCGAGGGCTGGACAGCGATTTGGGCGGCGCGGCCGACGGCGCTGGCCCAGCCTGGGCGCGCGTCCCGCCGGGCTCTGTGGGGGAGCGAAGTTCGCAAACTTCCGGGGTGCGGGGGCGGCCCGCGTGGGGCTCCCCGGGGCCCGACGCCTCGGGCGGGGGGGGGGGGCGCCGCCGAGCCTCGTCCGGGGTCCGGGATCGGCGATCGGCGGATCTCGGACCCCTGGCCCCTCGGTAACTTTGCGCCTCTTTCCGGACGCGGGCCCGGGGAGGGGGTGGCAGGCCCGGGAAGACCCGGCCAGCCGACCAGAGGTGCCCCCCTCTGCCGGCCGGCGGAGTCGGGGGGCCGGGGAGGAGCGACGCGACGGCGCGGGGCGGCTCCTCGAGCGGTGGCGAGGGCGTGCGGGGAGCGGGCCGGGCGGAGAGGAAGCGAGAGCGCCCGAGCTCCAAAGGCTGCTTTGTGCTGGGTATTTTGAGAAAATGGCCGAATGCCTATTTCAGCCCGGAATGCCGCCGCCGGGGCCGGCGCGGCGGCGGGGCTCGGAGGAATGGCGTGCTGCTCGGGGGCCCTCGGGCTGGGCTCGCCCGGTCTCACCGGGAAAACCTAACCTCGCGCGCAGGGCGGCGGCCCGGGAGGGGTGGGGGCGCCCGGGACGTGGGTGTCCGGGCGGCGGTCGGAGCCCCGGGCCGGGCGGCGGCGGAACGGCGGGCCCCGCGGTCTGATGGCATTTGCTCACGCTGTTGGTGCGCGTTACTTAACGGGCTCGCGTCTGTTTGTGTGGGTGAAAAGCATTGCCTTGCGTGTGCTCGGCTTTTCTGTGTTTGGCACCTTCCCCTACTTTTCTTCTTCTGATTTGCAAGAGGACACCGAGTCTGATAGGCAGCGCCTCTTCGCCCGCGAAGTAACTTCGTTAAGACAAAACACCCAACTTGTTTTCAAGAAGGTGATCTCGTAATGGCTTCCTCTAGCCAAGTAGGCCAAGTGGAACACAATGCCGAAAGTTGCAGATTGCCCTGTTGAGCTTCAGTACGATGCAGTTGCGGTGTTAGGGAAAAAAAAAATACACTCATTTGTGACGTTTCCAATTATGGGATTTTTAAAATTCTTGCCTTTTAAATTTGGGGTGTCATCAAAAATGGAGAGGTGAAATACTTTGTTCTCAGTAATTTTATTCTTTTGGAGGTAGTTGAGCTAGTCAAGTTCTTAAGAAATTCAACTAAACAATCACTGTAGATTTTCTTCCAGACTCCTTTACCTCCTTTAGGCAAAGAATGATTCCTAGGCTTTCTGGTTCCTACCACTAAACTATTGAAGGACAAAAGTGGGAGGACTGTTTACTACTCTGGTATTATATTGAAAATTTCTTTTTAGTTAGTATAAAAATGAAGATTGCCCCCTACACTCCTGAAAGATATTTTGAGCACTTGCAAGGGCAATGGTAGATCTTCTTGATAACTGAATTATGTTAAAAAAAGTGGTAGGATTTTTTATTTATTTATTTTTGTTTATTTTTTTTGAGTCCGGTCCTGGGGCCTGAACTCTAGGCCTGGGCTCTGTCCCTCAGCTCTTCAGCTCAAGGCTAGCACTCTACCACTTGAGCCACAGCACCACTTCCGGCTTTTTTCTTTTTGTTTATGTGGTGCTGAGTAATCGAACCCAAGACCTCAGGCATGCAGGGCAAGCGCTCTACCACTGAGCCACCTTCCCAGCCCGATTTTTTTTTGTAGATGAGGATTTGATTTGTGAGCGATTTCAGTAAAGAAAATTGAGAATTAATATCTGCCTAACTAATGTTGATACTGGGCACTGTCCCTCAGCTGTTTTGCTGAAGGCTGGCATTCTTATTACTGGAGTCACAGCTCCACTCTGGCTTTTTGGTGGTTAATTGAAGATACAAGTCTCTTGCCCTTTTCTGCCTTGGGCTAGGTTCCAATCAAGATTTATGATCTCAACCTCTTGAGTAGGTAGGATTACAGGTGAAACCTTCCCTAGTTTGTATAATTTCTTTTTTAAAAATTTTTTGTCAGTGTGGACCTTGAACTTTGGGTCTGGGCGCTGTCCCTCAGCTCTTCAACTTAAGACTAGTGCTACTTGAGCCATAGAGCCACTTCCGGCTTTTTCTGCTTATGTGGTGCTGAGGAATCCAGGGCCTCATGCTTGCAAGTCAAGCGCTCTACCACTGAGCCACTTTCCCAGCCCCACTTTTTTTTTTTTCTGTGCCTGTCCTGTGTCTTGAACTAAGGGACTAGGCATTGTCCTTGAGTTTCTTTTGCTCAAGGCTAGTGCTCTACCATTTGAGCTACAGCTCCACTTCCTCCTTTTTGGTAGTTTGGTGGAGATGAGAGTGGCGTAGGGTGACTTTTGGTGGCTTTGAACTGGGATCTTCAGATTGTAGCCTCCTGAGTGACTACAATTGCCTGTGTGAGCCGCCAGCCCCCTGGCTTATCTGTTGCTTTTGTTGTTGTTGTTGGTCATTGGGCCTGCACTCTGGGCCTGGGCGCTGTCCCTCAGCTCTTCAGCTCAAGGCTATCACTCTACCACTTGAGCTAGAGCCACAGTGCCACTTCTGGTTTTTTATGTGATTAACTGGAGATGAGTCTCAGGGACTTTCTTGCCCAGGGTGACTTTGAACTTTGATCCTCAGATCTCAGCCTCCAGAGTAGCTAGGATTATAGGCATGAGCCCCTGGACCCATCCTATTCTGGATCTTGATCATATTCAACCTTGAGTATCCAGAGTTTGTTGTTAGTAGTTATTGAGTCTTATTGAATTTTAGAGATTGTGTTCAATAAGCAGTTGTTTTTGGTCATGAGGAGCCTGAATGATGCTTTTAGTTTTCCTCTTAGAGTTGGTTTTAACAGGTGCTCTTTTGTTTGTTCTTTATTCAGAACGCAATTATGGCTACCCAAGTGATGGGCCAGTCTTCTGGAGGAGGAGGTTTGTTCACCAACAGTGGCAACATGGGCATGGCCTTAACTAATGACATGTATGACTTGCATGACCTCTCCAAAGCTGAGCTGGCTGCCCCTCAGCTTATCATGTTAGCAAACGTAGCCTTAACTGGGGAAGTCAATGGCAACTGCTGTGATTATCTGGTTGGAGAAGAGAGACAGATGGCGGAATTGATGCCTGTTGGCGATAACAACTTTTCAGATAGTGATGGAGAAGGACTTGAGGAATCTGCTGTAATGAAAGGTGAAGCTGATGGGTTAGGAAGCATGGAACTGAGAAGTATGGAGCTTAGTGTTGCAGAACCACAGCCTGTCTTTGAGGCCTCATCAGCTGCCCCTGAAGTCTACAGCTCCACTAAAGATCTTCCTCCTGAAACATCTGGAGCAGAGGACAAATGCAAGAACTCGAAGAGCAAACCCTTTCGCTGTAAGCCATGCCAGTATGAAGCAGAATCTGAGGAGCAGTTTGTGCACCATATCAGAGTCCATAGTGCCAAGAAGTTTTTTGTGGAAGAAAGTGCAGAGAAGCAAGCCAAAGCCAGGGAATCTGGCTCTTCCACTCCGGAGGAGGGAGATTTCTCAAAGGGCCCCATTCGATGTGACCGCTGTGGCTATAATACCAATCGATACGATCATTATACTGCACACTTGAAACACCACACTCGGGCTGGGGATAATGAGCGTGTCTACAAGTGCATCATTTGTACTTATACGACAGTAAGCGAGTATCACTGGAGGAAACACTTAAGAAACCATTTCCCAAGGAAAGTGTACACATGTGGCAAATGCAACTACTTTTCTGACAGAAAAAACAATTATGTCCAACATGTTCGGACTCATACAGGTAAGAGAAGCTTTTTAGTCCATTAAGTTCTATTCTCACTTCTGATTTCTGGTCAGCTTTACTTAAATAGTGCTTCAAAGAGTCTAGATTCCATTACTTACTATTGTGGTGATGTTAGACCTCTTTGTGCTCCATTTTCTTCATGGAGTAGAACATACATTTGTTTGGGGGATTCAATAAAGAAATGAAACATGGGGAGCCCTGAATTATTTAAAAAAAAAAACAGCCACAAGAAGCCTGGCCTTGGTGGCTCACACCTGTGATCCTAGTTACTTAAGAGGCTGAGAATTGAGGTTTGAAAGCAGTCTGGGCAGACAAATCTGAGAGACTTTTTTTGTTGGTTGTGGGGCTTGAACTCTGGGCTTGGGCACTGTCCCTTAAGCTCTTCAGCTCAAGGCAAGGGTTCTACTGCTTGAGCCACAACACCACTTCCGGTTTTTTAGTGGTTTATTGGAGATTCATGGTGGGGGGGGATGGGAAGGGATGGGAAGGGGAAACAAAGGAAGAGGCAACAATGCTTGTTAAGAAATGTACTCATTACCTTGCCCAGGTAATTGTAACTCCTCTGTACAGTATTTTCACAATAAAAAAAATAAAATACAATTAAAAAAAAAGTCTCATGGACTTTCCTACCCAGGCCAGCTTTAACTGCGATCCTCAGATCTCAGCCTCCTGAGTTACTAGGATTACAGGCATGAGGCTCCTGTGCCTGGCTATCTAAGAGACTCTTACTTAGAGTTAGCCAGCTAAAGGCTGGAACTTCAGGTGTGACTCATATGGTAGAGCACCAGTTACATGAGAATCTGAGCTACAGTACCAGCTCAGAAATAAGAACAGACATAAATCTTTTCAGTCCTGGGGATTGCACTCAGGACCTGGGAGCTGTCTCTGATTTTTTTTTTTCTTCTTAAGGCTAGGACTACCACTTGAGCCAAAGCTCCAGTTCAGCTATTTTTGATGGTTAATTGGAAATCTGTCTCATTTCCCTTTCATGTCTTTGCTGGCTTTGAACTGTGATCCTAAGATCTTAGCTTCCTAAGTAGGCTGGATTACATTCACAAACCACCAGTGCCTGGCTTGTCCATAAGACATCTTACTAGTGTGCTTCCTCAAATATATAGTGTAACATCTTGCGATATTAGATAGATTGCATGTCCCAAAATTTGACTGCTTTTAAGTTTGTGGATCTATGTGATAATGACTACTAACACGCACTGTAGTTTCACAGTGGAATTGAGAGCTTATTTATTTATTTATTTTGCCAGTCCTGAGACTTGAACTCTGGGCATGGGCACTGTCCCTGAGCTTCTTTTTGCTCAAGGCTAACACTTTACCACTTGAGCCACAGCACTACTTCTGGCTTTTTATGTTTTTGTGGTACTGAGGAATCAAATCCAGGACTTCATGTATGCTAGGCAAGCACTCTATCTCTAACTCACATTCCTAGTTCCAGGAGAGCTTAGACAGACAAGAAAACCCAATGATGAATCTTACATAGTGCATTTAATAGAGCACTCAAGCTTAAAACACTTGACTTATGGCATAGTCTCTAAGTGGAACAACTTGTCTTTCTCATCAAATGATAGAAATGTGAGAAGTTAGTTTGGAAAGAGAGTGGAATTACCACTCATCCAAGCCAGTTTCCTAAAAAAGCACACATGTGGAATACAGAATCCCTTTTCTGACAAGAAACAATTATGTTTAGCATATTCCAGTGCACATAGGTCAAAGAGGACCTATGTAATCCATAAGTACAACTCTGTCAAGAACTGAGGGTTGTTAGAGAGTGGAGCCCAACTGTAGAACACATGCCTGTGGCCCTGGGGTCTACTCCTGGAACCAAAAGGAAACATTTTGGAACTTGTAAGTATATGAAAAATTATAAAGAAAAAGGGAAATGTCATTTTTCAGGAAAATGGATGCACTTGGAGAACCTTAGTGTAATGAGCCAAATTCAAGTTAAATAGTGTGTTTTCACTCATACGTAGAAGCTAGATTTTAAGATATACATAATCATGGACATGTACATATATATAGATCTGTATGCATAAATGTATATGTGTGTTAAATATATGTATATAATGTGTTATATATAGATCACACACATAGAGCATAACTAATGATAAGACTGTAAATGGAAGGAGGAGCCTGGTACTGGTGGCTCTGGTATGTAATCCTAGCTACTCAAGGGGCTGAGTTCTGATGATCGAGATTTGAAGCCAGGCTGGACAGGAAAGTTTCTACTAGATTTTTTTTTTTTTTTTTTTGCCAGTCCTGGAGCTTGAACTCAGGGTCTGGGCACTGTCCCTGAGCTTCTTTGCTGGAAGCTAGCACTCTACCACTTGAGCCACAATACCACTTCCAGCTTTTTATGTTTATGTTGTAGTGAGGAATCAAACCCAGGACTTCATACAAGCTAGGCAAGCATCCTACCACTAAGCCACATTCTCTAAGCCCTCTATAAGACTCTTGTCTCTAGTAGGGAATGTAGCTTAGTGGTAGAGTGCTTGCCAATAGCATGCATGAAGCCCTGGGTTGGAGTCTTCAGTACCAAATAAATGGAAAAAGTCTGGCAAAAAACAACAACAAAAATCCTCACAAAAAACCTCTTTGTCTCTGGGCTGGGAAGGTGGGTCAGTGGTAGAGTGCTTGCCTTGTATGCATGAGGCCCTAGGTTCAATTCCTCAGCACCACATAAGAAAAAGCTGGAAGTGACACTGTGGCTCAAGTGGTAGAGCTCTAGCCTAAGCTGAGGAGCTGAGGGACAGCACCCAAGCCCAGAGTTGAGGCCAAAACAAAACATAAAAACCTTTGTCTCCATTAAGCTACCAAAAAAAACCTGGAAATAGAGCTGTGGCTCAAGTGATAGAGTACCAGCTAAGGGACAGAATCCAGGCCCAGAAAAACAAAAACCCTCATCAGCCAAACCTGGGATGGTAGGAGAGAGAAAAAGATGGAGGGTAAATAAGTTAGAAATATCCTGCAAATATGTATGAAGATGACTTAAGGAACTTCTCTGAAAGCTGTTAATCACTAGGCAGGGGTGGGAGTTATAGTACCTTGTGGGTGAATAACATGGATGTGGTCTAGGTAGTTTGTTCACATGTATGAAAATAGAACAATGAAACCTGATGAGATTTTTTGTTGTTGTTGAACTCTGGGCCTGGGTGCTGTCCCTCAGCTCTTCAGCTCAAGGCTAGGGTCCTACCACTTGAGCCCACAGCGCCACTTCCGGCCCTTTCTGCTTATGTGGTGCTGAGGAATTGAACCCAGGGCCTCATGCATACTAGCAAGCACTCTACCACTAAGCCACATTCCCAGCCCTTGAGATTGTTTTGAGAGGAGTGTGATAAGAGAAAGGATACAGGGTGAGGGTGATTGTATACATTGTATGCATGTATGGAAATTTAACTGTGAAACTCCATTTGTACAACAAATGTAATCTAATTTAAACTGAAAAATTTGGAGTACTTGTCTAGCAAGCGTAAAGCCCAGAGTTCAAACATCAGTACTGATCAAAACAACAAAAAAACCCTCAAAACAACAAAAAAATTTTACAATTTCAGACTAAGAACAAAAGTGAAGACAAATTGTCAATATCAGGAATGAGAAGGAATATTACCAAACCCTACAGGGATTAAAAGGATAAATAAGCAAAGTAAGATAATTGTGTCAGGTCATAGATTGAGTTCTAGTGTGCATGTAGACTTATCTGAATATTCGCCCTCAACCATTTTCTTTGTTTCTTTTCTGAGGGTTGGTTTTTATTTATTTTTGGTGCCAATACTGGGGTTTAAAATCAGGGTCTGGTGCTGTTCCTGAGCTTTTTCACTTAAGGCTAACACTCTATCATTTGAGCCTCACCTCCATTTCTGGCATTTTGATGGTCAATTGGAGATAAGAGGCAGGGGACTTTCCTGCCTGGACTGGCTTTGAACTGTGATCTTCAGATCTCAGCCTCCCGAGTAGCTAGAATTGTAGGTGTGAGTTTTTGTTTTTGTTTGCTCAAGTTTTGAGGCTTCACCTCAGGTTGTGTGACTGTCCTTGAGATTTTATGCTCAAAATTGGTGTTCTACCTACCACTTGAGCCACAGCTCCAGTTCTGGCTTCTTTCAGAGATGAGTGTTCATGGACTTTCTTGCCTTGGACTGGCTTTGAACTGATCATTAGATCTCAATTTTCTGAATAGGTAGAATAGCTAGGATTATAGGTTTGAGCCTACTAGCCCCCCCCCCCCCCTTTTTTTTTTTTTTTGGATCCAGTCGTGGGGCCTGAACTCTGGGCCTGGGCGCTGTCCCTCAGCTCTTCAGCTCAAGACTAGCATTCTACCACTTCAGCCACAGTGCACTTCCGGCTTTTTTCTTTTTGCTTATGTGGTGCTGAGGAATCGAACCCAGGGCCTCATGCATGCAAGGCAAGTGCTGTATCACTGAGCTACCTTCCCAGCCTTGGCTTTTTTCTTTTTGCTTATGTGATGCTGAGGAATTGAACCCAAGGCCTCATACATGCAAGGCAAGCGCTCTACCACTGAGCCACCTTCCCAGCCCCCTAGGGTGGTTTTTATTCAGTGTGTAGAAGCTTTTCATAGTCAGCCTCTACTCTGTTTTTTTTTTTTTCCATTTATTTTTTGGGTCCGGTCGTGGGCCTGAACTCTGGGCCTGAGGGCTGTCCCTCAGCTCTTCAAGACTAGTGCTCTACCACTTGAGCCACAGAGCCACTTTCAGCTTTTTCTGCTTATGTGGTGCTGAAGAATCAAACCCAGGGCCTCATGCATGCAAGGCAAGCACTCTACCACTGAGACACCTTCCCACTTTTTTTTTTTTTCCAGTCTTGGGGCTTGAACTCAGGGCCTGAGCACTGTCTCTGAGTTTTTTTTTTTTTTTTTTTTGGTTGTGGGGCTTGAACTCTAGGCTTGGGTGCTGTCCCTGAGCTCTTCAGCTCAAGGAGAGCGCTCTACCACTTGAGCCACAGCTCCACTTCCTGTTTTTGAGTGGTTTATT